AAAAAAAAAAATATTTAAAAAAAAAAAAAAAAAAAAAAAAAAAAAAAAAGAATTACCTGGGACGTTTGTAGGAAATACTGATGTGGCACCACCTAGCTTCAATTCTATAGAACCACAGGGTCCAGGCATTGGTATTTTTGAAAGTTCCAGAGGTATTTCCTTAGATGCATAGAAACACTGAGGCTGCCTTTGCAGATAAGAATTTGGGCGAACGCTAGATGAAGAGCTTTGGGATGAAAGATAATGTCTGATGTGCTTCTCTTCCAAGCTCTTTTGCTTGATAATGTAGTACGTATCCACAAATATTCGTTGAATGTGGGACATGTGGAGAGCTTTCCATCTTTCCTTGTTTGGAATAAAAACAGTGCTCATGTTTGTCCTCCTTTCTTTGAATATTTCTTTCCATTTAAAAGTAGGAGAAAAGTAAATCACAAGCATTTTGATTACTCAGAGGATTAGAAGGTAAATAAAACTTTCCTGAAGAGAAGCATTCTGTTGTGGAGTAGTGAGGTATAAGTTTGCAGAGGTTGGGTTGGTTTAGGTTTAGGAGCTTGGATTCTGTCTATGTGCCTTGGTGATCCATACATTTTCCTGAGTAGGGGAGGCACATGATTAAAGCACTATTGTAGAAAAATTTTTGAATCTTGATTTGGTGACTAGAAACAAGATTAGAATCACTGGACCTATTATTGAGGCTGTTGCTGTACTCTGAAATTGTAAGAGTGTAATCCATTATAGAATGACTTTAGAGTTCTGAAATGGAAAGGAAGAGCTAGGGTGGAGATGTTTTGAAGAAGTGATAGCATTTGAATGTGAAAGGAGGCCTAGGTAACTAGGAAAATGGCAATGTTGGCAACATAAAGTAGGTAACATTTATGTCATCCCTATAGGATGCCGGCTAGTGTTTTACTAGTGTTATTTCATTCTACTAGCACTGTGATACCTCATTGTACTCATTTTATGGATTAGGAAGCCAATTCTTAAAGAAGGTTACTGCCTAGCTTGCCCAAGTTCACCGACAAATGGTAACCTATAGTATGACTAGGACTGACACCAAAGGCTATTTTCCTTTCTGATTCCAATACATACTACATAATTAACCATTTTTGTTGTAATTTTGGAATTGTTTTTACACATTAGATTTTATATTCAACATCTTTGCAACCTCATGTCACATTAGTTCTCATTATTTCAGCTGTTGTTAAATGAAACTATTCTCTTGTTTTCTCCTTCCTATATCAATGATATTTCCTGTTTTTAACTCATACCCAACCATTAACATCTAGATCGTACTTGCCTCCCATACCCATGTTAACCTTTCCATTACTCCCAATGACTAGCGATTTTTTTTTCTCATCTGAACTTTTATATTTCTGTATTTGCTGTTATGTAATTACTTCATAATAAATATTATTTGAATGATTCTTAGATATGAAATGCTTATTAGTGAGTACAACCCCATTGATATATTTGAAATAATAGATATAATATAAAAATATATAGTAACTGGTATGGATAAGAAAAATTACTACTTAATTTATACATGAAGAAATAAGAAAACAAAAATGACTGTGGATTTAAAGGACCTATCCAAACTGAGACGTCATTTCCTTTTTGGAAGTTCTTGGCTCCAAACAATATATGATTTAGTTTTATCATCACATGAGTTTTATAGTGGTACAGCACAATGCAACATAAGCTAAATACCTAAAAACCTGAGTTAGTTTCTCAGTTCTGCTTCTTTCAAAGTATGAGTTTGGGCAAATCACAACTTTTGACCCCTCATCTGTAAAATAGGAATACCGTTTCTTGTTGCACTCATTTTTTAGCTTGTTATGAAAATCAGATTTGATAATATAAGTGAAAACTCTTTGTAATTTGCTAAATGTGTTAGATGGCAATGTAATTATAATGTATTTATCTTAAAAAAGATTGTGTTCACTGCAGCATCTTTCTTTAGTGTTTTTGCTTTTGTTTTTAATTCAGCTTTCCACAGGCTACAAATCAAACATTGCTAGACAAATTTAAGCATCAACATGAAGAGAATTCTTACATTGAATTTCCAGCTGTGATGGAGCCTGCTTTCACCATAAAGCATTATGCCGGGAAAGTAAAATATGGGGTAAAGGTCAGTAAATTTCATATTGCATATGCCTTTAGGGTAGAGATGCATTCTTAAGTCTATACCACAATACTTTCTTTGTAGATGTGGAAGCTCTTCATCAGTAACAATTAGAGACATTATTATGAGGATACTACTGAAATTCAGATTCTACCTTATAATATTACTGTCTTAGGTGATGTTTCTGTTGATTTCTTTCTATAGGTAAACCTGATGTCAGTCCATCTAATAGCCTTTTTAGATCTGAAAGAGTAGATAGCGTTAGTATGTCTTAAATGCACTAGTTGATCTGCGGAGTTTGTGGAATCTTTCTGTTCTCTACATCCATGAGGCCTGACAGAGGGTTCATGTCTTTATGTACCATTAGGTATTTGTGAGCTTGCACTCCTAGTGAATTTTTAAAAACTCTTTAACGCCTGTGGGAGGAAATATTTATAATTTTGTTCATTTCCTGTTTGTAATTAGTGAGCTATTACCTTTCAATCACTTGATGTTTAAGCCTGCCATTTAAGACAATTTCCCAGGCAAGGCAATGACAATATGGAGACTAGTGGAGCAATGTTTTCTCTTGGGTCTTGAGGTGAGAGTCAGAATTAAGATCACTTATTCACGAAGTGTTTATTAAACACACAGCATGCATCATACCATGTGCTTGGTATTTGGAATGATCCAATGATAAAATAGACAGATAAATATGTTCCTGGCTCTGTATATACATAAACATACATATTTACATACATATATATATTTGTATGTGTGTTTGTGTATAATATAGATAAATGGGGCTATGTGCTATTAATGAATGGGTTCTATGAGGGAAACTAGTGAAATATTGGATTTTGAATTTGTAGATCCATGAGAAACTCAGATTTTGAGAGATGACCTGAAGTAAATGTAAATGATGAATCACGAGATAGAAAAGAACCTAATATGAAAAATAACTGAAAACAGACCAGTGTTACTGTATTATAGTGAACACTGGATCTAGTGGCATAAAATGAATTCAGAGAATGGAATGCAAGTTAATTTTTAGGGCTTTTAGACGAAGTAAATGAATTTGGGTTTTGTTGAAATTATTATGGAGAGCCATAAAAAGATTTTAAAGTTAAGGATGTGATTTGGGTTTTTAAAACATTGCTTTGATTTCTGTGAGGAGAAAGAACAGCAGAGGATGGGAATGGAAGCTGGGAGGTTAAATAAGTAACTTTTTAAAACTGTTGAGGTGAAATGTTAAGATAAACTGAACCACAGGGGTGGCAGTAGAGTTGGAGGAAATCTAGATGATTATGAATATATTTCAGAGATGTAATCAGTAAACCTTATTCAGGGATTCTAGATAAGTAAGTGACTTCTGGCTATTGCTGATGGGTGAATTTGAGGTGCTAATTTTTCAGATGGAAAAGACAGGAAGGAATAGATTTTAGACAAACATTAAGAATAACAGAGCAGAATGGTGGTTACTGGGGCGGAGCTAGAGGGCAGGGGAGTTGAGATGTTGGACTCAAACTTGCAGTTAGAAGATAGATAAATTCTGGAGATTTAATACACAGCATTGTGATTATAACTTAGTGTTCAAAGTTCTTAAGAGACTAGATCCTTTTTTTTTTTTTTTTTTTTAAATGAGACTAGATCTTAAATGTTCTCATCACAAAAAAGAAATGATAGTTATATGACTTGATGGAGATTTTAACACTACTATGGTGATAATCATATTGCAACATAAGTGTATCAAATCAACATGTTGTACACCTTATACAGTGTTATATGTCAGTTATAACTCAATTTAAAAAACATTTTTAAATGCAGTTTAAAACAAATAAAAAAGCTTGAGCTATAAAATCATAGTGAGGTACGTAGTGTATAAATCTAAAGTGTACGGATTTCTTTCATGTCCCTTCCCTGCTCATTCTCCCTCTCCCAGAGGCAATCACCATCCTAACTTTTTGTCCTTAGTTTTATTTGTTATTAAATTTCAGATAAATGGAAGCATACAGTTTATACATTTTTGCCTGTGATTATTCATCCATGTTATCACATAGGTTGAAAGTGAAAGGATGGGAAAAAGATTTATCATGCAAACCTCAACTTAAAGAGGTCGTATATTTACATTATTATTAGACAAAATAGACTTTAAGGCAAGAAGTATTATTAGATATAAAGTGGCACATTTGATAACCAACAAAAGTGCCAATTCAATAGAAGACATAATCATCAAAAGTTATATTACCTAATAACTTCATTTCAATATATATAAACCAAAAGAAGAGCAAAAGTAGAACTAGACAAGTCTTTCATCATAGTTGTAGATTTTAAGACACAATATTTTAGTATCAAAATAAATAGGCACAAAATCAAAAATAAAAATTAAACAGCATTCTCAAACAGCTGACCTAATTGGTATATCATAAGGATAACTAGACAGTTATTGGGTGTTTAGAAATTAAGTAAAATTCTTCTGTATAACCTATGAGTCAAAAAAGAAATCACAATGAAATATTTTAAATTGAACATTAATGAAAATACAACATATCAAAATTTATAGGGTGCATTTAAAACAAGGATTTATAACTTTAAATGTGTATATCAGAGAGAGTGATTGAAAAGTAATTATCTAAGCTTCCATCTCAAGAAACTAGGAAAAGAACAGCAGAGAACCAGCAGTTTCACCTGGGTATTTATCCTAAAAAAACCAAAAACACTAATTCGAAAAGCCATGCGTTCCTGTTTATTTCAGCATTATTTACAATAGCCAAGATATGGAAACAGTCTAAGTGCCCATCAATATACAAATGTATAAAGAAGAAGTGGTGTATATATATGTGTGTGTGTGTGTGTGTGTTTGTATGTATATATATATAGTGGAATAGATGACTCAGCCATAAAAAAGAATGAACTCTTGCCATCTGCAACAACATGGATGGACCAAGAGGTCCAATGAATGGATGGACCATTCATTGTGCTGAATGAAATAAGTCAGACAGAGAAAGACAAATGTCAGATGATTTCACATATATGTAGGATCTAAAAAACAAAATAAACACACAAGCAGAATAGAAACAGATTCATAGATACAGAGAGCATTTTGATGGTTGCTAAATGGGAGAGGCATTAGGGGGCATGGGGGGAAATTGTGAAGGAATTGAGATGTGCAAATTGCTAGTTATAAAAACAGTCACAGATTGTAAAGTACAGTGGTAACTATGTATAGTGTTAGATAGATACTAGACTTATTGTGGTGATCACTGCATAAGTTATATTAATATTTAATCACTATTTTGTATACCTGAAACGAATATAATATTGTATGTTAACTGTAATTGAAAAATAAAATAAAAATTATTTAAAAAAAAAAGCTCAGTAAATTAAACACCCCAAAGTTAGAAGAAGGAAAAATAAAGAACAGAGATCAGTGCAATAGAGTGCAGACATGCAGTAGAGAAACTGACAGAGCTAAAAGTCAGTTACTTGAGAAGATAATAGAAAATAATACAAGTAAAAGGAATAGAAAATAACTAATTATTGAAAAAAAGATTCACAAATTATAGATATCAGAAATGGGAAAGGAGACTTAACTACATACCTTACAGATATTAAAAGAATATGAACATATTTTACCAACAAATTTGACAACATAGATAAAATGGAAAATTCCATGAGAAATGCATATTACTAAAACTGACACCAGAAAATACAGGAAAACTGAAAATCCCGTGTCTGTTAAATAAGTTGAACCAGTAGTTTAAAACTTTCCAACAAAGGAAATTCCAGGCCCACCTTGTTTTACTGGAAAATTCATTCTTTCAATTTTGAAATACCTTTAAGATGTGTAAATGGATCTCAGACTGAACAAAAAAGATCTGAGCTGGAAATACAGATTTGGGCCTTATCATATAGATGGTGCTTAAAGCCATCATTATATTTGAGTTCACCTGATGTAAGATGATTGAATGAAAAGAGTACATAAGATCAGACTCTAAGAATTTCTAATATGAAACCAGCAGTGGAGATTGAGAGGGACAGCACACAAAGTAAGTAGTAAATCACAAAATGTGGTGTTACAGAAACCAAGAGAGAGCTTCAAGAAGAATATGATTATTTTATGAAGTGTACTTAGAAATCTAGACCTATGTAGACAGAGAGACAAGACCATTACATTTGGAAAATGAAGGTGTCTAGCAGTATTTGACAGTCTCATCATGGAAAATAATTCTAGAATTTTAGGTTGTACAGTGTAGTTATAGGATGAGATGGTCAAGAATTGATGTTTCAATTCTTGCACTGGTACTTATTATGTTTGACCTTTGGCGAGCTTCTGTACCTCTGTGTTTACTTATCAATGAATTGTGGCTTATACTTGATTCTAGTGTATTGGGTAATTGATAGAATTGAGTAGGTTATGTATAGTGCTTAACTTAGTGCCTCACATCTTGTCTGCCCTGGGTAGGTATTAGCTAATGATGATGATGATGGCAGTGGCGGTGATTTGGATTTGAAAATTCTTACTTAGTTTTACTAACTTTTATTATATATACAGGTTAGGGCAAAAGTAGGTTACAGTTGTTTGTATAGAAAATAAGAAATAATAATACAAGAATAAACTGTGTTTCGTGTACTCAAAACTGTAAACCTCCTTTTGTCCCACCCTTTGCTTTTACTCAAAGGGTATTTAGGGACAAGCCAAGGACCAAGACTTCTGCTTGTTTGCCCCTTTTCCCTGTTTTCAGGTGAACAGAGAAGGATTAGGAAAGGAAAGCCCTGAAGGTAATAGGATCAGCTCAACTGCCTTCTGGACACGAGGGTAGATGACATCATACTAGGCATGTTCCTCATAGAATTCTGAGTTGGAGCTATTTTGTAAAGCTGCACAAACTTATAGTGATTTACTCATCAAGTTTCAGTCCTTTCATCTGGGTTTGGTTATAGCAAATGCCTAGACTGTACATATCAGTCTGGGACCTTCTTCCAGTAAGCTTTTTGCCTTCCCTATCTTTCCGTGGAATATTTTAACCCATTTTCTTGTGTTCTGTCCCCTCCAACCTCCATCCATGCTTTGGCAGGGGTTTTTACTACTTATTTACAGTCCTTAAGTAATCTTAATTACCTTTAAAAAATCTATATGCTGATGACATCCAAATGTATTTTCTGAAATCTCTATAGGACTCTAAGGTTAGACACATATCCATCTGCCTACTTGATGTCTGTATGCAGACATAGTATCGTGGTTATGAGTGGTTGTGTTTGAACCTTGCTTCTTCCACTTAGTGTGTGATAGGGACCGAAATAGTTAACCTCTCTGTGACTCAGTTTCCTCATCTATAAAATAGGAATAATGTTTACCTCAAGAAGTTAGGAGAACAAAATGAGCTTAAATAGGACAACACATGTAAAATGCTTAGAAGATTGTCAACACATATAGTACCTACTAATAAATGTTACTTGCTATTATAATATCCTTCCATTTTATACTTAACTTGGACAGAACTGATCTCTTAATCCTTATTTCTTATCTCCACACCTTCTTTTTTCTCTATTCTTCTCCATATCAGTATATGGCACCTCCATTCACCTAGTTACTCAAACTCCAAATATGGTTGTTAACCTAATTCCCTCATTCTCTCACCATGCCCTAATCCACCAAAAAGTCCTTTTTCCTTACCTCCATAACATACCATAAATATGATCACTATTTTCCCTTTCTATTCATTCTACCAATGTAGTCCCAGCCACTGTCAGCTCACCTGGAATATTGCAATAGCTGGTCTCCCTTTTTCTATTTGCACAATTCATTCCCCCCACAGCAACCAATGGTGTTTAGAAAACACCATTTAGCACATGTCACCACCCTCCCAGTGATTTTCCTTTACACTTGAATAAAATCTAGATTCCTAACTCAGGTTTAAATAGTCTACATAGCCTATTTATTTGTGTAATCTTCCACTGCACTTACCCTTGCCTAGAACGCTCCAGCTCTTGCTCTTAATGCTTTTCTCATAACTTTTTCAAATCATCACCACCTATAGATCATAGATGTTCCCTTTGCTTGGAATGCTGTTCCTGACCTTCTTATGTCTGTTTCCTTTATGTTATTCAGCTTTCTTGTTATTTTATATGATACCCCTACAGAGAGGCTCTCCCTGACCACTGTTTATCAAGTGCAATAAAATTGTGGAATATACTCTATAATTCAAATGTAGTATAGAACCTAATAGTTTTAAGATTGCGAGGACTTTATAGAAGATTTCTGGTCCAGTTAGTTACCTAGAACAGAAATTACTTCTGTTGTCCTTATTCAACCACTGTTCAAACATGTCACCCATTATCTTCTTGGTTTAATAACTTTTTCAAAAATAACACTGGTACTTTTTTCATGTAGGATTTCCGGGAAAAAAATACAGATCATATGCGCCCTGACATTGTAGCTCTTCTGAGAAGTAGCAAAAATGCATTTATCTCTGGGATGATTGGAATTGATCCTGTAGCTGTTTTCCGATGGGCAGTTCTCCGAGCTTTTTTCAGAGCCATGGTTGCTTTCAGGGAAGCTGGGAAGAGACACATTCAGAGAAAAACTGGTAAGCAGTAGTATTAGTATTCTACCATGATGCATCTTAAAATTTTGTACTTCTCTAAGAAGTAGAGACATAATAATTTTATTCTGTTCTGTTTTCTTACCATAACCTAGCATCATGTTTCAGATGTAATTTTTTCTAGTGAACGCTACATGATTGAATTAAATAGATATATGATGTATGTGTGTATATATGGGTTGGTACTTTTTATTAATAAATACTGATATTTCGGAATAATGAGTGTAAAGCACATGGTATTTAGTAGGCACTCAGTAAGACATTGCTATGATTTTTAAAGGTAATTATTATTTATATAGAATTTGATATTGATACATTTCTCTGCTGCTTATGCGATAGTTTTTACTAGAAATGAAACAATTTAATGTGGAAACATAAATCAGGAGACAGAAAAATTAGGATGGAGGTAGTGTAGTATAGTGGAGATAACCTGACTTCAGTAATTAACCAAGTGTCATCTCTTCTCTTGACTGACTTCCCAACTATTTCCAGTATTTCTTGGAGTGTTAATGCTGCTTTAAAAATTGTGAGGGTAAAGTCAGATAATACATGTGCAGTATTGGTTTATGAAGTTTTTTTTTTAATTGACTGATCTTAGGGAAGGAAGAGAGAGAGACATTGATTTGTTATTCCACTTACTTATGCATTCATTGATTGATTCTTGTATGTGCCCTGACCTGGGATCAAACCCACATCCTTATTGTATTGGGACGATGCTCTAATCAACTAAGCTACCCAGCCAGGGCTATGAAGTATTAATTTTTTTTCCTCACGCTTAACTCAGCTTATTGGATTTTACTTTCACATTTAGAAATAGTTAAAGCAGGTTACTTTTTCTGTGTGCCTCTCCCTTAAATCATAAAGTATCCTGTTTCACGTTCTGTGGGAGGGCATCTTCATAAGCACTTGTTACCTACTGCAGTCACAGTGCTGCTTGCTGTAGTTCTAGCCTTGGATAGTGCATAGTGAGCATTTTCTAATATACATGTAGTTGTTTGAAATATATTTTCTGGCCAGAGTTGCTTCAGTAGAATAGTTCTGGGTACACTTGTGTCTTTAGGACTCTGAGACTTATATGGCTTTTTGGCATGCACACTACCAGTGAAACTTCAAATTCAGCTTTGATGTATTTCAAATGAATAACTGTATTTGGGAGATTTTTATTTCTAAAATGAGAGACAAAAACTAATTGAATTTTCATTTTCATTTTTTCAGATTTTAATGTGTACAAGCTGACCTTTGTAGATAAGGGAGAGTTATAATTTTTTGTGTTTCTTTTTAAAAGTAAAAGGAGTATCTTAAACTTGCTTTGCCTTTTGCAAAGTTATTTCTAAGAAGATATCTTTACAAAAAGTTTTAAGGAAAAGTATTTTTCTTTTAAGATATGTTTTTATTTTTTATGATGGACATCAGTTTTGAAAATTTTGAAATTGATTAAGTATCCTGCTAAGATGTAACTAAGTGAAGAAACTTTTCATGTATTTACTATTAAATATATTCTTTTCTCTAAAAATTATTTATGTTGTATGCTCCTTTAGCATTTAAAATATTATTTGTGGAAGCTGGTTGTATGTGTATAATAATAAGTTATACAAAGACATTCAATGTTACTAATGATCAACAAATTGAACCTGTATTATCTCCACTTTCCTAATTTCTGGATTCTTCTTGTTTTTAATCTAGTTTTTTTTCCTGGCCTATTTATTTTTTATTTTATATTAACTTTTTGAAAAACATGTCTTTATTGATCTCAAGAGAGGAAGGGATAGGGAGAGAGTGAGAGAGAAACATCAATGATGAGAGTCATTGATGGGCTGTCTCCTGCACGCCCCTCACTGGGGACAGAGCCACAACCCAGGCATGTGCCCTGACTGGGAAACGAACCTCGATCTCCTGGATCCTAAGTCAATGCTCAACTGCTGAGCCATGACCGGCCGGGCTTTCCTGGCCCATTTAGAGGTTTTATGTAATAAACTCTCTTTGAAAACTCTTTACTCTAGGATATAACATGTACACAAAAAAATGCACAAAACAAAAATTTATAGCTCAGTGAATTAATAGCAAAAACACTCCTGTAACTACCACCTAGGTTAAGAAAAAGAATATTACCAACACCCTGGAGAAAGTTTTTAAATTGTACTTCTTCTGAAGGAAAAGAAAAACTATAGGTTGTTTGCATTTTGAGCAAATGACTGAGCAGATATGTTACTGAGAATAATTGTGTTACAGTATATTAGGGTCAGTGCCAGCATTTAGCATTTTTGCTCTCTCCACACCACTTACCACCTATCATTTTCTGGTGGGTTTGGGGTAAAAGGATACCATAAAGTTAGAAATTACAGTGTTGCAAAATAAAAACTAACAGAATAACCGAAAATGGATTAAGTAGTAGATTCAGAACATTTATAATGACTGTAAATAGTATGCAAACATACCAAAGTAAAACAGGAATTGGAGATTATTTAAGGAGAAGCAGAATATATAGAAGGCAGAAGGTAGCTAAGTTCAGATCTTGAATGAGAATAAGAGATCAAAGATCATACTTCTAGTGAAGGAAGAAGATGTAGACTGCACAAGTACAATATCACTTCTTTTGAGCTATCTTTATAATTTCAGTGGACTCTTAGCTAATTGTCAACAAATATCCTTACAGTGATCCAAAAATCCTGGATTTTGTTAAGAAATTCCCTGACATTTTTTTTCTTCATGAAGCCAGATGGGAATATCAAATTAAAATCTACTTTTTAGATCTATTTTTATTTATTGACTAATCTATTTTAATTTATTGACTGATTTTAGAGAGAGCAGAAGGAAGAGAGAGAAACATCAGTTTGTTATTCCACTTATTTATGTGTTCATTGGATTCCCGAATTTGCCCCGACCAGGGATCGAACCCGCAACCTTGGTGTATCGGGATGATTCTCTAACCAAATGAGCTACCCAGCCAGAGCTTAAGTTATTTTTTAATAGACTTTCAAATTAAAGGACATGGTGTCGTTTTAAGGACCTTAAATAAAAATAAAGTCAGTTTATTTTTTTAAAGAATAAATTTGTTACAATTGTGGAATGTGTGTTATGGTGATCAGGAAACCACACAATATTCTTAATGGTGTCATATAAGTAGGCAGTCTAAGTGAAGCCTCTTGTTGGCCCTGCTGGGAGGTAGAATGAGAAATGGTAATGATTTGTCTGGTCAGCAGTGAGGTACTGGAGAACAGATATTCCAGTGATATCATCCACCTTGCCTCTGATTTACTCCTCTTGAATAAGAAAGAGCCTGAATTAGAGTGTACAGGATAGATCATAACTTGATCCTGAATTATACAGTATGTAGAAGTGAGTATAGTAGTTCTTTATTTGGTTCTTTTGGAGTTACCCTAAATATGTAGCCAAAGAAGAATTTTAACCACTCTAAAAAAACTAGACTGAGATGGGGAATTCAACTCTGGCATTGGGATCAAAGGCAAGAACAAGAGAGTTCAAAGTGTCATTCAGTTTCTTTATCTACAGGGAGAGAAGCTGAAGTCACTCATATAGTGTCTGTAGATAGAGAGCTGTAATGGTTCCCACTTAACTAACCCATTCTTCTTCCCTACCCCACTCAATGGATTGAGTGACACCAGTGTGTGCCCATTTGTTTCTACAAGTGGGAGAAGGGTTTCAGTCACCATCTATTTCCAGAAATGACCAGGTACTAAAACTGATTTAGATATCACCAGGGGTCTAGGATCTCTATGCAGGACTCTGTTTACAATTCTACTCAATACTGAAGACAGTAAAATGGATGTTAACAAACAAAACCTTGACCATCATTAATCAGACCATTATTAATCAGGCACTATAGTGTGTTGGTTAAAGAGTAAAGGTTTTATTTTGATGTCAGTGAATGATGGAGAAAGGACCTCTGAAAATTCTTTCTTCCATAAAATCAATAAGAACACTTGCAGAAAGTGTCAGAATTCAGGAAATTCATTAAAGGGTTGCAGTAATTTTGAAAGTGTTTGTTCAAGAAAAAAGGCTATATATTGGTAAAGATGGCGGACTTTGTAGTGTTTTAATTTGTACTAGTTCCTCCCCAGCTCCGCTGTAGTCTTGGAAACCAGCAGCCTGGAGCACAATGAAAAGCAGCAGTGTGGCAACCACGAGGGAGAGTAGAAGGGTGTTGGAGCTCCTTCAGAGCCCCATTTCCAGAGAATTTTCATTGTTTAGTCTATTCTATTGTGTCTTCCTTGGAAGACCCCACTTGCAAGACTATCTTTATGTCTTTAACCTGATTTGTGTTTACCCAGTGTGAATATAGCCTTCTAAGGGTGTAGTCCAAAAACAATCAGAAGCAATTATTGAACATTGCATCTGCCTGATGCAGTAGATAATAGTTGGGGCAAAAACTAACCAAAATTCTTAAAAGGAAAAGCTGGGAAATGAAGTCTCCATAATAGCTTTGAAAAGTTCCCACATATTTATGGGAATCTTAGCCATGTACATGCATAGGGCTTTGTACATGCCTATCACTGTGCACATGCTCAGGAAAGACCTGAGAAGATCCTGATTTTTCAACTCTGGATTACCTTCAGACACTGCAAGCAGGAGGTGAAGGACAAGACAGAGTTGTAAATGGCCTAGCTGAGTGTTGAAGGTGTGCCCCAACACATCATACACAGTGACCCTTAACAAAGACTAGAGATTTAGTTTTCAGGCATGTAAAAATATGTCTGCAATCATTAGCTGACCACTACACTAACAGCAGAGATTTCCATGGTCACATGTGACAAGGAATGCAGACTTTACAAAATTAGTTCAGGTAAGTCCTAAGTAAGTAGCAGCGTAGTCTGAGTCTAAGCATTTTTTTCTCCAAGCCCATCAAGGGGGAAATTATTGATAATAATGAGAAGAGAACATTTTTATTATTAGAATGTGTAACTTTTGGTAATACTTGTCTTATTCTCTTTTTTTTAAAATTGATTTGAGAGAGAGGAAGGGAGGGGGGAGAGAGAGAAACATCGATCAGTTGCTTCCCATATATATATGCCCAGACCGGGGATCAAACCTGCAACCTGGGTATGTGCCCTGACTGGCAATTGAATCCATGACCCTTCCTGTACAGGACATCGCTCAAACCAACTGGGCCATACCATCCAGGGCAATAGTTGTCTCTTTTTGAAACATTGAACATTTGCAACTATGGGCTCTCCATGTTTGGTAAATGGGATAGTGCTTTATTAGCTTACATATTTTTATTATTGGATGTGAAAAAAATTTTCAAAATCATTTTATTTTTAGAAGCCTGGTATTTATATGTGTACTATTATCTGGTGTTAGGCTATCATAAAATTCCATCTCCTTAGCTAAAGTGTAGATGCTTATTCTCTAGATATAGAAACTAAACCAAGCTTTGCAAACCTTTTTGAATACTCTGCCTCTGTTTAACTTTTTATGAAAGGTTCTTCTTTAAGAACTATTCATAGATAAGATCTCATTCTTAATTGTACAGTAAATATGCACTAATGGAACTTTAGTTCTTTGTTTAATTTGCCTCTATCTGTTAACTATTCACTTTTGTTTTTTAAAGGCAATGTGCATAAATTTGAACTTAATGTCCTAAGTCTAGAGATATTCTCTAAGTAAATGATACTTAAGTCCCCTCAAACCTAGAAAACCTGTATTCTCTTTTAAGTCCCTTTACACTAATATTTATGGTACTGAAACTCCCTCTTCCCACCCCTCCCCCTTATTGCTTGAGTGATTCACTGTTTCAGTAGCACTAATCCGGGACTTTAGTCCTTACTTGAAAGTTCTCTCTTCCCTTTCCCACCAGTAGTTGATTTTGTCTCACTTTACAAGAATTGGTGGGGATGTACAGATTTTTCAGCTTAGTTTTAGATTTATAAATACAGAAGTGCTGCTGGGTTTTCCTGCTCTATGGTGCTTTCTTCCTGCGCTTTCAACATTGACACACTTGTTGGAATTTCTACAAGTGTTGTTAATTGCAAGATTTGTGACAGAATGGTTTAACTTTTGGTAATTTGTTTTGGGTAAATTTCTCTTTGGGGTTCATCAGTGTTTCTTGCATTGTGTTGCCAACTATATGCCAATTATATTTCAGGCCTGATAAAAATGAGCCCATTAAAAAAAAAAGCCTAAACCATACCAATTGTTTTAGAAATCTCCCCAGTATTTTAAATTAGAAAAATTTTAACTCATGACACTTTGAGTACTGAAAAGGATATTTTGAATACCTAAAAGGGACCTTTATTTTTTACTGTTATTGTTGTGTAATTTCCTCAAATTGGAAAAATCATTCACCTTTAACTCCTACCACTTGATATATTTTTATATACTCTTAAGATAGTTGGCAGCATCATCCTTGATTCTCTATTGGTTTGGGCTTATGTAATGTCTTTTTCTTTTCTCCATTTTTTGTTTTTCTTTTGCCTCCTAAGGACATGATGATACAGCGCCATGTGCAATTTTGAAAAGTATGGATAGTGTTAGCTTTCTTCAACACCCAGTCCACCAGAGGAGCTTAGAGATTCTGCAGAGGTGCAAGGAAGAGAAGTACAGTAAGGCTGACAATCCTGATAAACTCTGTGTCATCACATATCCATTTGGAAATGGAAACCAGGAGCATTCTACACCAGGGTGGGACATAAATTATATAGGCAGTGTGACCTCCAGAATCCTTCCACCATTTGGTCTCAGGATATTTTTGATGAAACTTTAGTTTTTTTCTCCTAGAAAAGTTGATATACCTGTTCTTTTAATTTGAGTGTCTGTTTGCCTATGCTTCTCGAGTTGTTAATTACACTTGGTTACAGACTCTGAATTTATTTTCATTTTTGGCTTTAAAGTAACTGGGTGATGGGTAAAAATGAATAGTGATTTTCTTTCCTGCTGACTTTTTTTTTTTAAAGCCTATTGAAATCTAATTGAGGTAAAATAAACTGCATACAAAAGCATAGAATTTGGTAAGTTTTTACATATATATGCACCTGTGAAATCATCACCACAATCAAGATGATTAATATATCCAACACTGCCACAAGTTTCCACTGCCCCTTTCTAATTCCGGCTGATTTTTATGCTTGCTTATGGTTGAATTTCAACATCAGCAGTGTTGCTTTAGTGTATCATTGGTAAAGTACTTAGTTTGATTGCAGTCCTCCTATGAGAGGACTTTCCTTTCCTATGTCTGGTTTAGAGCACAGCTACCCACATTAATGTTTTGATATAATGTTATGACAGAATCATAGTGGGTGTTCTTTTTTTAAATAAAATAGGTGTAAAAAGATGCCCTTGGTCTCCATTTCCTCCTCTTCTATTTGTTATACTCCTTCTGCATAAAAATGGGTTCTTTTGCCTGTTGTGGGATTCTAGTTATTTGGCTATTAAAATAGTGGGAATAAAGGGATACTACAGAATACTTGAAGCGTAACTCAGAAATTTGCATATAATGGACCTAAATTACTTACATTTTCTGTTCTGAGCTTTCTACAGTTTACTGCAGATAAACTTGGCTAATTTCCCAGTTTTGTGATTGAAATTCCATGAAATTTTAGTATCTAATTATCAATGAATTGAATTCCTAAAAGCAAATGTTATGGGTTTTTTCTTTAGTTCTTTTTATTTTTGCTGTCTTGGTATAAGAAAATATGTAATGCATTTTGAAAAACATTATTTAAAATATTTTCTCATTTTTAAAAAGAACAAAGGTAAGTATTTCATTAAAAAAAAGACATCCTTATATGTTACTGATAATTATTGCTGTTTTTTCTAAAAGGTATACACGTCCTTATTCCATTTATCCATCTTTCTTTTTAAAATGTTTTGGTCCATGGGACATTGTTTAACAGTCTGTAGATCTTTTGGGGAGCTTAAATGAATTGCTTTTAACTTTTAAGCAGTTGCAAATAGCTTATTTGCTTTGTTGATTTTTATGTCTCTCAGCCTGACCTTCCTAGGGTTGATTGTATTCCAGCTTGGAATATAACGTCCAGAATAGGAAGCCACTAATTTCAGCATACGCTGCATGAGGAAATTGTACATTTATCTGTGTTCACATTCAAATTTATTTCTACATTTGTAGAAGTTGGAGCTTTTTCATTATTTTAGGTAGTTTATTCTGTTTTCTATTATAGTACTACCAATAATTAAAATTTTATTATATATATAAAATTATAAATTCATGTTTGGGAGGTTGTTTTTTTAAAAAAATCAGGGTACTACCAGCTTTAGGTAATGGTGAATTGGTGAGGTGAATGAACCCTCAGGTAACAATGATAGAACCTTGAAAAAATTTAAAAATAACTATTTGAAAGCACTGGAAAAAGACCCATAGGCTACAAGACCAAAGAAGACCAAAAAGAAGCAGAAAACAGAGGAGAGTCATTCTATGTGTGGCTGTTTGCATAAAGTACTTTCCAACTCCCATAGCTCCATACTGGCTTGTGGTGTCAGAGGACAAAGTTGAGAACTGGCAAGCAGTTTGGAATTTAGGAGGAAAATCCTGGAACTGAGAGAGCTGCCAAAGGGCTAAAACCCAAAGTTAGAATATGAATACTGCCAACCATACCTGACTGACTGGTGTGAGTATACAGGAAAGAAAGACTGTAGGAGCCCTGTCAAAAAAGCACTGCAAACCAAATAGGAAATAACCTTTGAAAAATGCAACTGCAATAGGTGAGATTTGCAAATTTGCTGCTTTTTTGACTGAGGACTTTTTGTATCTGTGCATAGCTCCTGTGTGGGGAGAGCTGAATATTTACTGCCTTAGTTGGAATCCCATAAGTAGAGGAGAGAGAGAAAGAGGCAAAAAATATTTGAAGAAATAATGGCTGAAAACTTTTCATGTTTGGTTAATAAACAACTAGCTTAGAGACCCAAGAAGATCAGTGACCTTTAAGTAGAATAAATACAAAATAAAACCACAGGTAGGCACAGTATAGGCAAATTGTTAAGTGCCAAAGGTAAAGAGAAAATCTTTAAAATAGCTAAGAGAAAATATGACATTAAATATAGGGGAATAATGATATGATTAACACTTGCCATTGAAAGCAGTGGAGACTGAAAGATATCCCCAAATCATAATTAAAATAAAAGCATAACAGAGCAAAACCCCCAAACCAAAACAACTTCTAGGCAAAATTTTTCTGTATTTGTAGTTTGGGACCAGACAAGTTAACTCTCTGTTAGAAGAAAAGTTAGCTATCTATTAGAAGAAAAATCAATAGTCGTCAGAAGAACATAACGAAATCTAGTGGTGCTGCAAATTATTATTTCAGTGTCCAATTAACAGCAAAAGCATCCTTCAAAAATGAAGCTGAAATAAAGATGTTTTCAGATAAACAAAATATAGGACTATTGGTCATCATAATATGTATTCTATAAGAAATGGTCATGAAAATTCTTTAGGCTAAAGGGAAATGACACCACCAGATGATAACTTGTATATAGAGTAGAGGTTGGTAAACTTTTTCTGCAAAGGGACAGATAGTAAACATTTTAGGCTTTGTAGTGAAAGGTTAATGTGGCGCGGGCAGGCTAAATAGCCACCTCAGACGGGTGAATAAAGAAAAATTAAATTTATTAAAAGGGAATGGGGGATATCCAAAGGAAAGGGCTACACAGCACTGAGCCAAAGGGTATTGAGTCCATGATGGCAGCAAAAATATACTTGGGACAGTGAAACAAGAAAGAGCATAGAAGAAGCAACAGAAGAACCTAGGCTGGGCTGCTTTGGTTCACTAAGAAGTCAGAGATAGAGAGGGAGACAGGTTCAAGGGTAAGCCTGGGACAAGCTACTGCTGTCCATTGCTCTCCTGGTTGCAAGTTTTGTGGTATCCCCTCAGAGGGATGGAAATGATGCTGGCATGCTCCCCTAATGGGGAGCATGTACTGGGTCCTTTGCCCTGAGTGTATTTATCTCTTTCTTGCAGAAGGAATCTTATGGGAGGTTTCAGGGCAGTGTCTCAATAGAATATTCATCAGCTTTCCAGGTGTGCTCTTTCTGGGCTCTACTGATTGGTTGGTTCCAGGGCAGGGGGTCATTAGTCAATGTAGCCTGAGGCAGCTAAGGCGCCACTTGTCTGGTTTTGCTGCTTTTATCTGGGTCTAGAGCTGAAATACAGTTGAGGCCTAGATGTTATCTTTAGGAAGGAACTCAGCTCAGAGGTTTTAGCTCAGGGGGGTCTAAGGATAGTTTACCTTGGGGACAGGTTCTTGTTTTCCCAGTTTCGGCCCTTGCTAGGCATCTGGGGCTTTCTGCCCTGGTGAGTTTCTGTACTCTAGTTTCTGTACCTGGGTTTCTGTATCAGGCCCATCTAACATGTAGGTCATATTGTTTCTGTTGAAACAACTAAGCTCTGCTGTGAAAGGAACTGTAGACAATATATGAATAAGTGGGCTTGGCTATGTTCCAGTGAAACTTTATTATGCACAGTAAAACTTGAATATCATATAATTTTCACATGCCACAAAAATATTCATCCATCGATTTTTTTCTTCAACCATTTAAAAATATAAAAGCCATCCTTAGTTTGTAGGCCTTGCAAAAATATCTAGTGGGCTTGATTTGGCCCGTGGACTCTAGTATGCCAGTCCATGAATTATTGGAAGGAATAACAAAATCAGAAATAAAAATAAATTACTATACATATTTTCTTTTTTTCCTCTTAATTTCTTTTAAAAAGATATATGGCTATTTAAGGTAAAAATTATTACATTGTTCTGGCAGTTTAAAATGTGTCCACAAATTCTTTGATACTCCTCCCTTCAAAGGGCATATGCTGTACTTAGTGACTTGTTTCTAACACATGGAATGTGGCAGAAGTGACACTCTGACCTTTGAGATTAAGTCATAAAAGGTATTGTGGCTTTTCCTCCTCCTCTTCTTCATTTCTGGTACTCTTACCTTCTCAATACAGTGATTATTCTCTGAGATTTGGCAGGGAGGAAATTAGAGGAGTGGGGAGAAATTGGGGTTCTTGGGAATATTAGATACCGCCCCCCCTCTGAAAAGGTCAGAAGCCATGGAAAGGAGAAGGCATAAGATAGGAGGAAGAGGAAGAGCATAGAATAGAAGAACCTCATTCAGTTTGAACCTACTTTTGACCTTCAATCTAGCCTCGGGTTAATGGAGAAGGTGATGTTGATGAAAAAGATGAAGGATCAGCAATAGTCAGCTTGTGAGCTTGTTGTTCCTAATGACCCTCACCTTGCTGACAGTGGCTACTTTAATGTCCCTGACCTCAGCCTTTAGTTTAGTGTGGTTACACAAATGATTGAAATTTAAAGTATGGTGTCTGCCAAAATGGACAGTTAACAGCAGAAAGTTATCTGAGAAATTCTTACATATTTGCAAAATAAGCATGTATAAATAACTCATGAGTTAAAGAAAAATTCATAAGAGAAACATGAAAGTATTTCAATCTGACTGATAATGGAAACAACATATTGCATCTTGTGTAATTCAACTAAAGAAGTTCTTAGAAGAAAATTGCTAGCTTTAAATTTTTATATTAGAAATAAAGTCAGAATACCATCAGTGATCTAACCACTGAGAAAC